AGTTTTGTCTTAAATTAAGCTGCTACACTGTATTCCGTGCGTTTAAAATTTAACCGTCTGTAAAAACAGCAATAATGGATTACTAGCAACACTTACGTTACGCAATGAAGCACCGAAAATGGGTGAAGAAAATGTGTCTCAGTAATGCGTGTTTGCCACTCATAATGCACTGTACTTTGTTTGAATAAGCAATAAACTATTTGTGATCTTAGGTTATCCATTGTTCGTTATCAGAGTTAACAGATTCTTTGTGTGATTTTTTTTCAGAATCCCAAGAGTGGATGCCTTAGTGAGCACAGAACAGATATCACCATTGGTCTACATATGTCAGGAAGAATGTTATAATTATGAACTTTGTGTTACACTGAACTTCATTTTGTTAAATTTTGTATTTAACTGAACTTTATTGTGTTAAAATAATAATAAAAAAATAATAGTTCTGATAAAAAACTACAATCTGGAACATTCTTTAGATCAACTTTGTTCAGTGTGTGTCCCATATGACAGAGTTACAGTAAATAAAATATGTGCATTATTCCTCTGTGTTTGTCAATTCCATTTTAAAAGCATGTGAAAGTGGTGTGCCCCTCATGAATGAAGTGTGTATGGATAATAGCAAAAATATTGTTATTATTTACATGATTATAAAAAGTTTTTGTACCCGCGTCAATAACGTTACCGTGACCCACATATTCACCATTTTTATTAATTATGAAATGTGGATTAAATTCTTCAAAACCAGTTTTGAAGCATTGAGACAACACCCCCTTATGATTTAAACTAAAACTGAAAACATTCCATTAGACTTTCATTAGTTTGTGCAAAATATATTACCCAGGGTAACGCGTCTTGGATTTGGTGGGTATAGCTGTTCAACTCTCCTGTGTGCCCTAAAAAGGGCAGCTGCTGTTTCCCTTTTTATGAAATGATAAACTGTGATGGTGTAGCTATCACATCGCAAAATTACAGCTTCCCAGAGAAAGTTTGAAATTTTCGGTCAAATTCAACATTTTGTAACCACTAGCAAAGAATGACAGAAAAGGAAATTTTTTTATTCATGGTTATGCCGCACTGTAAATTATTCTACGGTTATGGGGTATGCCTAACTGAAAAGACAAAAATCACTCCCATTAAAAGAAGTACTGAGATTCACTTTTTCTGTTGAAAGTACAATCGTTAATGCTAGAAGCAATCACAAATACATGTACACTCTCTCTTTTATTGTCTCATAAGTATAGCGTCCACAACTAAACAATGATGTGCTACCAGTCAATGGTGCTTTGCAGCTACACGTAGCTACACTACCAATATATTTGTAGATATCAGTTAGCACGGATAAGTTGTTTAATCAAATCTTACTGTTAAGTACTTAGGAGCTGGCATATTTACCTCTCTCACACCATGACTTAGAGCCCTTTTAATAATCTCTGGGAGTCTGTTGGCTATAGTACCGCTTCCTGACGATACCCAGCTATTGCTAAATATCGAGATTGAATCTAGTTCATGCACGAGGGCTTGTGCAATCTCGTCAGCCTTTAACGTGCGCTGTGCAGAATCACTTAAAAGCTGGATATCTGGAATCCATGGACAGCGAACTTAAATTACATTATTTTTTAAGCTGTAAGACTTAAAATATCCATGATGTTACTTTTTTCTTAAGAAATATGATATTTTGATTTAAAAGATTTGATATCACCGTTTTAAGGGCGTTAGCAAGACAGGCAGACATAAATAAGCAAACTTGAGGAAGTTGTGAAAACTATTTTGTTTAATACCTATAACACAACATGCATTCTTCAAAACTAGTGGTTTACAGATAACAATTATGGTAACGAATAACTGCAAAGCAAACAGGGCTCTGTGTTTATAATACTGCCATCTTCTTATATATGAAGTACCGTCATTGCTCCAAGTAAAGTGCGTTTGTGTATGCGTTAGTTAGAACACCTAGTATGCCATAAATATGCTATAAATTAAAAAAAAACTGAGGTATAAACACACTAAGGGTCGTTTAATTTTTAAAAACTTGCCGACATCTCAAACATAGACATACCTGCAATTTTAGCATCTGGTGCCACTCCTATTCCACATATTTTATTGATTTTTCCACTTAAGACTCCAGCAACTTTGGTTCCATGATCTCTAATAAACAAGAAAAGGCACAAGCATTAAATGAACTGAGCATTCCATGTACAGGGACCTCGCTGAATCATACTGTAAAATAACAATAAGGTTGACTGATAATTTACTGTTACATGGGAAAAGGCTACAACTTTAAAATAGAAGCGCATAGTGCTAGGCCCATTCAGATGGTGCACTTATCATTTAAAATAAATAACCTTTATTAAAATTTACCTTCTGCTTGGGGTACTATTTAAAAACGAGACGCTAAGACTTCTAACCTGTAAATATTTTAGAACACATCTGAAAACATACACACAATACTTCACGCAACTCCAACAGCCTGTTAAACTAGGAATTAAAACATAAAACATAAAAGGAAAACATATTGCATGTGTATTACATGAAAAAGTGTAATTTTAATCCATAAAATTTTATCTTATATCTGAACCATTATTTTAAACAATAAATTAATTATAGCTCTCCCTTACAACATTCACATCTGGATTATCCACGATCCCGCTGTCAACAACGCCAATAACAATACCTTCGCCAGTAAAACATTTTGACCAAGAAGCCATTACATTCAGATCATAGTCATTTTTATCTGAATTGTTCTGCAAATAACCAATAGAGGTAATAGAATATTAAAAAGTGACATATATGTAAGGTAAAGTATGTGTTATTTTGTGAACAAGTTCTTCTTTTAAAACTGATATTTCATTGAATCCTTACGGTTTGCTAAGCAATTATTGTAAAAATGTGTCCATGTGTGCTTACCAGATACCACTGATCAGGCCACAGTGGGTCGCGTAGAGAGATCACAGAGCAGTTCGAATGCGTGGTAGATGGGGAAGAGGCAAGGAGTTCAAGTTCAGGCATGTGTGTTTGTTTTTCTGCCCATCGTATCTAAAGATGCATTAGAATAAATTAATCGCATTATTTTGATTATATTTACATTCACAGGAACTCAGGTATGTTCCAGTTTTGAAAAAAAAATCACGTATGCGTACATTAAAAGACTTAACAGTGACCAAATATCATGCTGTGTTATCAAGAAAGTCATATTAAGCACATTCTATTTTATAATCAGGTTGATTTAGATAAAAATGCTTACTTACTGGACACAAACACTGTACATCACATAAACCCTGACACCATACCAACATACCCTAAGATCACTGAGTATTCTCTGTTGCAGTAGTGTGTCTGACTTTCCATTCCCGAAGTCAATGCGAAAATGGTTCCCAAACATCTGAAATATAATTCATCACCTAAGTAATTATAATGTAGAATAATTATCCATTTTCGATTTTCGTGATGTCAGTATTTTTTCGAATTGATTGGCCCAAGTCGGTCTTTTGAACGGTGACATATAACATATATTAAACCACTGTATGTCGGAACACATGTAATACTAATAAAGGTAAAGAGTAAAAGACGTTGATAATTACTTGTGGTACAAGACGTATACTGACTGTGCGCAGCATATTTAAAAGCTTATAATTACTATATTTTTGTTGATTTAACAAAACACCTTATTACCACTTTTTGAAGTAGAACCATTCTTATTTGCTACTTTTTTCAATACCAAAAGATCAGATCACAGTTATGTACTCTGTGTATTAAAATACTGTAAGCGGCCTAGAATAATCAAAGCAAAAACCAAATCCCGTGTGCTTACAAGTATAAAAAAATCGTGATTTGGTTTATAAAAATATCTGTTGACTAAACACTTCAAAATGTACCTTTCTAACACTTTTTAACTTCATCTCCTTTGCTAGAAGAGGAATATGACTTTCATTATGTAGTTCAATCACCCATCTGGATGTCCCCACTTTGCTGTAAAATAAGTGCAATCTCGTGGACAGTACATGGATGACAGATATCAAAAATATAAAAATATAAAACAGAATTAGACAAAAATTTCCTTGATATAGGCCTATTATTATTATTATTATTATTATTATTATTATTATTATTATTATTAGAAAATCAATACACAGAACCATATATAAATATATATTGAAAGTAAAAGTGTTTTTCCTGTATGAGTATATATATATATATATATATATAATAAAAAGAAAAAAAGAGCAGCAGCTATTTTGCCCCGACAGGTTACATTGCATCTTCAGGTGGTTATATATATATATATATATATATCTTAAAAAAGAAAAATTCCTTACCTTTGAAAAGTGTCTAAAGGGTGTGTTTGTAAAGAATTAAACAGAAATGTCCACAAAATCCAGTGCAAGTTCCCCATTCTGCAAAACAACAAAGAACACTAAAAATGTGCCAAAACACATATCTTTCTGAAGCATATTTATACATGAAACACCTGACTGTAGCAAACGCAACTTTTATATGCTATGTGGCATAAATATGTATGCAGGGTCGTAGCCTCGGGGGGGGGGGGGGGGGGAGGGGGGGGAGGGGGGGGGGCGGCCCCCCCCCCCCCCCTGGGATGTGAGGTGCAAAAGAATGATCGCAAAGGTAAAAAAAATTGCAAAGTTGGTATCACTTCTGTGAGAAAATGCACTCATGGCCACTAGACAATCATGCAGCAATCTGTTTACAAAGGTGTACTGTTGTTAGCCAACTCAGTTCATGCCAAAAAGCTCACCCTCCCTTAGGGAGCTATGCCCCAGGCTGTTATCAGGTTATTGTTAACCCACACTTTCTGACTTCTGATTGAGCACTAAATAACAGTTAAAATGCACCAGAATGCAGTATTATACATAGAGTTTTAAAAAATTTTCCACACCGTGGGAGGACACCCCCTCCCACACTCTCGCCCCTCGGGGGCTTCGCCCCCTCATGTCCGCTTACTGCCCCCCTGGCATTTTGCTCAGGCTACGGCCTTGCTATGCCTGCCACACAGCATACAAAAGTCACTGTTTTTAACATGGGTCACTGTTTTGGGAATAAAAGAAATCCTTACAACCAAATTTTGTATCGACATGTTATTTTTGACCTTTATAACTTAAACAATGAGTATTTGTGCAAGCGACAGACGACTTGGCTAAAAGAATCCTTGCAGCATCCCTTCAGAAATGTCAGTTCAATGGGGGAATCATGGGCATTAGAATTTATTTGTTATATATTCCATTATAATGCACTTAATACGTTTCAATGCACTTAAAAGGTTGATATTGTAAAATTTTAAGAATAACAATACTAAAATTATGCAAAGTCCGTTTTAAAGTTTAAATACATTTATCGTAAAAATTTTTAAAAATGCATTTTTAGGGAATCTAAAATTGTCCTATTTCAGTTCTATTATAAAAGGGCAGTTTGCTCTTTAATTTTCAGACGTGACGTAGTGATTGAGTGATTTTGGATATTGTGTCAGTGGTGGGAAATAAACAAACGGGGATTCAAATAAACTTGAAATTGAAGGGTGTTCTGCAGTTTGCAGAAACAGAAAATATGGTGTTATGATAAATATCCAAGATTTACATAAACATGTTATGAAATAATAGAAAAGTGACATCCTCTTTTTAAAGTTATTTTTGAAAGAGTGATATTGTATCATGATACTGAAAAATTTATGTGTAGGAACTATAAATTAGGCCGACCGGACAAATTCATACAAAGGTGGAATATGCCTACCCAGCCTATACAAGAAAAATAACAAAGAGGGAAATAATTTTCAACACTGATATGTTGTAAAGTAATTAAACCAAATGAAAGAGAATGACAGCGATCGCATCCAGAACAGCGGAGTAACAGATTCGCGGATCATATATATATAGCGACCCGCTTACAAAGCTTGCTGCTATAATTCTCGAATAGATTCCCCCACAGGGAATACGCAACAAGCATTCAAGTGGGTAGGCCATATCTGATCCGCGGATATGTTAGTCCGCTGTTATAAACGCGCTCAGAATGTTGGTGAAAGTTGCTACTCTATCCTGTGGTATATTGTTCGTGGTTCTGTGTATTGATTTTCTAATAAATATTGGGGTATAAATAGAACTGCCCTGTCTCCATAAATTCATTTATTCCAGAGTGGTTGAATATAAATTTGTAGTAAAATGAAATTACAGTACCACTACTTGGTTTAAACTGACAAATAAGAGCTTCAGTTTATATGTTTAAAAATGAAGCAGTATAATTCCAAATACGTTACTCTTTCTGTGTGACACTTAGAACCTTTTGATTTTGATATCCCTTCGTACGGCCACCTGTACGTTTCATCATCATCTGAGACGGGCCACTCAACTTAAAAGTGAACATTAAAGTCACGTCAGTGACGCATTCATTTTGTGCAATTTTATTCATAATTTTAATTGCCCCATAATTTAATTGTCTTATATTACAGTACCCCTCCATTATGGAAAGAAATCAAAAGTAGTTAAAAGTAATAAATAAAATAGTTATGCAAAATTACACAAAATGTTCAAAGGTTCACTTTTAGTGGATTGATCAAGATAATACACGAATGCAGTGCTACGATGGAGTTAATTGATCACTATATTCAACCTCGGTGGAATTGTCACTATTTTACCTGATAACCTACCCATTTAGTTATAAAACGATGATAAAATGCAGTGTCGTAGTGATTTTTGCTGCGTATTTGTACTTCAAACACAAAGAAGGGTGAATTTAAGAAACGCCCATTTGGCTCAAGCATTGCGAATGTTTAAAAGAAGATACAAAAAATGGTATTAGTCCGGTGGCTTAAGGAAAAAATCGTGACAAGGAGGATAAAAGCACCAAATTTGGCATGTGGTTTTGACATTCTAAATCAAATTAGAGCCGTTTGGTCAAAAATTCCAAAATGACCGCCAATTTGTGAAATTTTATAGAAAGATATACATACCTATGTTGATTTTTATCAAATAAAGTGTTTTCTACATCCCTATTACCTGTTGTATGCATATATGTCAGATAACAAACGATTGTCCTTGTACTTTTTGAAAAATCCAAGATGACCGCCGTATGGCATAGGAACATGTGCCAACTAGGAAGATGCATTGTCCACTATCTAATCAATGTTGTTTCTGAGTGTTTTCCACATCCTTATTACTCAGATAATATATTTCTGGTGAGTAACTAACCTAAGCATTACGAGAAAATCCAAGATGGCCGCCATGTCAAAAGAATACTAGTGTACACATTGGGCTTCTTCTGCCAGAGAGATATCATATGAATTAATAAATAAAGTTTGTTTCTGAGTATTTTCCACATCCTTTTAATCCATATAATATATATGTGATGAGAATGTTATGTGCATCCTTAACATTTTGAAAACAAAACAAAATGGCAGCCATTAGCCATAAGAGGTGGGGTTCAGTTACGTAATGTCTGCAAGAGATAGGCTTTCCTTAAAATGAAGCTTTATTCAGGTATATATTCAGTTTGTTTTTTCAGTGTTTTCATATCATTATTATCCCATGATACACATCTGTTAGGTAATAAATGTGTATATTTGATCATATGGGGAAATCCAAGATGGCCTTATTTTCCCATGGGAAAACTGGTGCATTGGATTTTATAAGTACTCCAAGGCAAATGAAGGTAATCGTGATATTTTGTCAAAATACAGGGTAAACACTTGTTACCCACCAGATAGATATATATCAAAGTTAAAAAAAGAATGTGGTAAATACCGAGAACAAAATTCATTTTTGAATCCAGGCAGTAGTTGACTGTATTCCTATTGTGAATTGCAGCAATCTTCGATTTTCTCAAATTCGTAAGATGCACACTTGCTACACACCATGCAGATTTATATAGAGTAAGGTTAATAAGAATGTCAACATGTTTGGACGTCAAAAGGCTTAATTTCATGTTGGAATTAATGTCTGAACTGTTCCATTAATTGACATCCATGTGCATTTGAATGATATATTCCTATGACAACTGGCAGCTATCTTGGGTTTTCCCCGAATAGTACTCAAGGATGATGCACTTTCTACACTCACTCACTCAGTCTTTCATAAGGGTAAAAATAATGTGAAAAACACTTTAAAACAATCTAAAGTTAACAACATTTAAAATGTACTCAGTGTATCCCTGACATTATTTGAAGTATGTGTGCGAATATTCTTATGACAAAAGGCAGACATCTTGATTTTTTTTCCAGAATACCCAAAGATAAACACATGCTACAGACCAGGTATACATCATAGGGGTAATAATAAATGGTATAAAACATTTTTAGAACAAACCTATGGCAATGTAATTGTATAATTAAACATATGTCTCTCTAGCAGCAATTGAAACCCACCAATTAGTCAAATTGTAGCCATCTTGGATTTTCTCAAAATATCCAAGGATGCACACTATTTACCCACCAGATATACCAGTATATCAGAGGACTAATAAGGATGAGCAAAGCTTGAGAAGCAAATACAATTTGTAATAAACACTATTTCACCCTGGTAGTAGTTGAAAGCCATGGACGTACATTTGAAATAGTATTCCTATGGCTAATGACGGCCATCTGGGATTTTCTCAAAATGACCAAATATGCACATTTATTACCTGCTAGATATGTATCACTGTATAATAATACTGTGTCAAACACTAAAAAATAAACTGAATTTGAAAGTGGATAATGTTTTTCCTAGCTGGCATTAGTTCCGATCGACCCCTTGTACTACTAGAAATTTCCTTTGGCATATAGCGGCCATCTTGGAGTTATTAAAAATGACCAAGAATACATGTTAGTTAGTCACCACATACATATTATGAGGGTGGTAAGGATGTGAAAAACACTCAGAAACAAACTTAATCTGATAGTAGAAAATTATCTTTCCAGTTGCCATTAATTGAACCCCCGTCTACCGGTACTAGTATTGCTATGGCACATGGCAGCCATCTTGGAATTTCCCACTTGCTAGTTACACATCACATACATATTATGTGGGCAACAAAGAAGTGGAAAAATCGCAGAAACAGACTTAATTTGATAGTGGAAACATATCTTTCTAGCTGGCATTAGTTGTGCCCTTGTCTTCCTATGGCTGTTTCTATGGCATATGGCGGCCATCTTGGATATTTTCAAAAAGTCCAAGGGAATTCCTTTGCTATTTGACATATATGCATAATATGGGTAATAAGAATGTGGAAAACACTGAGAAAATACTTTATTTGATAAAAATCAACAAAGGTATGTATATATGTATTTCTATAGAATTCCACAAATTGGTGGCTATTTTGGATTTTTGACCAAAAGGTAAAATTTTTCCGTGGGCAACGGCTCTTATTTGACTGAGTATGTCAAAAGGTACCTACACGCAAAATTTGGTGCTTTTAT